GTTCTTTTCTTAGAAGGTGTTTGTGGGTCAATTTGATATGTCCTATTCTTAGTCTGTCTAATGTCAGTATAACTCTAATATGTATAATTTGTTATCAGTTTGTGATTTCAGTTAATTAATTCATCCAGCGCAATACTTTATAGCCTATGCTTATCCATCCTTTTTACATAGTTAAACTGGATAAATCTAAAATAAATAAAGTATGCCGACAGCTTGCTTTGGAAAATGTGTGAAGTTGTCTTTGTAGACTGTCCTCATTATCTGCAAACAGAGCTGTGTTATCCGCATACCACAATATACTAATTCTGCTATGTCCTAGCTTTATCTCAGTCGTAGCGATTCTAGATCTAGTATTTCGTCTATTAGAATGTTGAACAGGAACAGACTAAGGCTGAGCTCCCTGTCTGATTCCCTGCAAGGTTGGCATTTTAGACGTAGTGGTGTTATTTGGTTTAATTTGTCATCAAATTATTGTTGGTAATATCGTCAATTTTGTATCTATCAAATTCTGTTGTTAGAACAACAAGAATATGTATTCTATAGACTTTAACTTTACTACTATCTTTAACTTGTTTCATAATGTATTTCACCTCCACTGTCAACCATCCATTCTGAAACCTTGTTGTTTTTATGTGATCTACATTTGTAATTCGAATTTATACTTGAGTAAACTTGTGAATAGCTTCATTGTTGTATTTGAGAGAGATATTCCTTTGCAGACATCCAGACATGTTCCTTGACCTTGCTTTAAAATCGAAATTGTAATTCTGGTGGGTGAGTTCTTTGGTAGGTATGTCCATTCGGTCTAAGATTTCGTTAAATAATAATATGAGGCATTTTACGAGATGCTGACCCCATATTTCAACAGTTTGTTTGGTATTTAATTAGTTATTGGTGTTCTCTAAATTCTTCATTCTCGTTACTACTTCTAGTTCGTTAGGGATATATCTTTATTCCCGTTGTATTCCAGTTCGTCGTTGGTTTCTTCACTATTATAGAGCTGCCTATAATATTTTTTCATTTCTTAGTTGTGATTGCCTTTGTACAATTCATTTACTGTTTTTTTTTTTCTAATTTGTAATACCGTCCATTCTTTTCTCTGTGAACCATAGATGTCATGATGTCACTTTTGGACTGAATCCAATAATCGCTTTTAATTGCGTTTGCCCTTTTTATTGTCTTCTAATTTTGATAAATAGTTTTTTTTTGTTTCTTATGTACTATTTTTCAACAATTTCGCCCTTGCTTTGATTGTTATACTGATTCTTAATGCTTTCTATTGCTTTAGTTTTATGCTTCTAACTTGATCTCCTATTTTTATTTTAGTGTTTTTGAAGCTTATGTTAATCCCAAGTGTTTATTCGAGATGCTATTTGTCCCCTACTATAGGTCAATTTGGTCCAGACCGAATATTCTGGATATTATATTAATTTTTAAAGTATCTATCTTTGGTAATATATGATATGGGAATAATCTAATACGATAATTTATTAATAACAAGAGTTAAGAGCTAATAAATAAATTATTTGTGGAAGACTTATACAATTTTGTGTAATAATCTTTTCAGAAACGAATAATCTTTTGTAAATTTTTTAAATGATCTTGGATATTTTTATACAAGTTCTTAAAATAAACATGTCAATACGACCTTTTTGTGTAAAATATTTTGAATATTGTTACATCTTCTAATTTAGTGATTAATTTTGTGATAGCACTTTTTCATTTTCACAAGTAAAGTTTTTATTGATTATAATTAAAAATATAATGTACATACGATTACTAGTATTGTCATGCTCACAAAGTTCGTGATTTACGAGTAATAGGATATTTTAAAGGGGTTTACTAATAATCTATAGTAAACTTTATTGATCTAAAAGACATACTCCATTATATTTGTTGTCGTATATATAATTATAGAATTCATTATTAGATTTCTTGTTGCAATATGCATTATCAGTAGATGTGTAATTGCTTGTAAGTGTAATAAAGAATATCACTTTCAAAGGTCTTTTTATTACTAATCAACCGAAAATATTTTCTTTCTAGGTACGTTAGGTATACTAACTATGAAACAGAATATTTTCTGCACGGATGCTAGTTTGATTCTAAACCAATATTTTCTGGGTCACTTTGTAGATCACAGAAATAGTAGGTATTCTGCCCAGCTAATTAAAAGTGCCTTAAGTCCAAAAATATTGAATATTGAGTTATAGGTATATTATGGTTTCCTACATTTTCAATCATGCAGAACTCAATGGGCTACTCAAAATTGCCGTATCTTCAACAATGATCGAGATATAAAGAATTATTTGCGGTATGTGCATTAAAATTTTCAAAATTAAGCTAGACTGCCGTATACTTATAAACAAAGTTTTGGGAAATGTTCATTTTAACATCATGTGATAAGGTTGATGTTAAAGGAAGAAGAAATAAAATCAATGAAACAGAAAGGTGATCACTATCTGTTCAATACAAATTAAAAATTGCTTTGACATTACACAAGAGATTTGTAAGAGTTTTTTCCTCACCACATTAGGCTTTAAGAAAAATAATGACATGTTTGTGCATTACACACCCACAAATACTCCTAAAGAAGCTTTAACTCTACCTACTAATAAGAGAGGAAAATAGCCATCCAAAAATAAAGGATCCCGTCATATAATAATCGAACACATCGAATTATTTCATTCCATTATTTTCCATTGCAGACGGTAGCATGTTCCAAATGTGCGGTACCTTCCAGGTTATGTTAATGTTACACGTATGTACAGTAAATTCATCAAAAATTTCACGAGTTTAAAGGGAAAGTATAAAATACTTTCAAATATTGTGTATGACCGATTGAGACCATATGCGGAACAAATAGTTGGGGGATATCAATGTGGTTTCCGCAGGCAGAAGTCCACAATAGATCAGATCTTCGTCTTGAGGCAAATCTTGGAAAAGACTAGTGAATTTAATATAGACACACATCATCTTTTCATTGATTTTGAGAGTGCCTATGATAGCATCCATCGAGAATTTCTGATCCATGCACTGAAAGAGTTTAATATTCCAACTCAACTCATTGATATAGTAAAAGAAACACTTAAAGTACAAAGCAAAATTCGAATTCAAAACGCACTAACGGACACAATCCATGTGAGACAGGCCTACGACAGGGAAATGCCCTATGCCTAAACATTAACGAAATAAAAACCAAAACACGAAGGCCAGTAAATCGACAGGCCAAAGAAACCTACAGAATCTGACAATAGGAGACTATAACATCGAAAGAGTTAAAAATTTTACATATCTAGATTCACTAGTTACCGCAAATAACAATGTCAGTGAAGAAGTTAAGACAAGAATACATATCGCTAATAAAACATATAAGGGACTAATTAAACATCTAAGATCTAACATCACAAGAAACACCAAATGCAAAATATACAAGACCCTGATAAAACCGGTCCTTGTATACTGATCAGAGACATGGACACTGTCGAAAAGCGATAATAACCTATTAGGTACGTTTGAACGAAAAATCTTTAGACACATAATATATAAGGGGTAGAGGAAAATGACATATGGCGCAGAAGATTTGAACTATACACAGCATACAATGAACCCGAGTTCATAACATCCATAAAGATCTGACGTCTGCGCTGGATGGGCCATGTTAAACGGATGTTAGAGACTGAAACACCAAAACATATAATGAGCCAAAAACCAGTAGGGAGAAGGTCAAAGGGAAGACCCAAACTTAGATATATGGAACAAGTGGAACAAGATCTGAAAACACTTAAAATTACCAACTGGAAAAACAAAGCAAGGAACAGAACAGAATGGCGGAAAATCCTAGAACAGGCTAGGACCCAGGATGGGTTGTCAAGCTACTGATGATGATGATGAACGGGAAAGTATCATATGATTTATACAGGCGAACCGTTAAGGAACGACATATATCATTCGCACAACTAGGACAAGGAGTGCGAAAAATGTGTGCCACGAGTAGACATATCCAAAAAAGTAGTATTTGTAAAGTATTTTCTAGCCTATCACAAAATCTTTGCACCTGCAGGAAGAAAAAGTTAAGAAAAAGTACACTCCATGTTGTGACAAAAGCAATTTCAGACCGCAATAAAGAAGACAATGCTAGTGCATTGTATATGTTTTTAAAACAACACAGAGATGTTGAAAAAGTTGTTTTGGTTAGACAACTGCTCCTTCCAAAACAAAAACTGGTGTCATACACATTTTTATTGTATATAATAAACTATGATGACATTGCAGCTAACAAAATAGTTTAAAACTATTTCCCAACTAGTCATTCATTTATGAGTGTAGACAGTTTTCACCATAAAGTAGAGCAATCATTTAAGGCTCAAAAGAAAACTTATAATATTGAAGACTTTGTTGATGCAGTGAAAAAATCTAAATCTGGAAATGTCAATTAATACAAAATGCAGCATTTTGATTTCTACCACTGGCCCCATTTCGTGTTCCAACAAAAGCTAAAATCACCATCACGTTTGTGTACTTAAGTGACATCTTCTTCTTCTTATTTTTTGGGTGCCGTCTTCTTAGCGAAGGTTGGCGATGACCTCTGCAAAGTCTTCCCTATTTTGGGCTTTCCTTATTAAACTTGAAAGTCTAATCCTGTCCAATCTTTGATATTGCGCAGCCAGGTCATTTGTCGTCTACCCGGGCCGCGTCTGCCTTCTATTTTCCCTTCTATAATAAGCTGAAAAAGTTATACCTGTCGTGTCTAAATATGTGTCCAAGATAAGACGTTTTACGCTTCTTGACAATTTCTGTGAGTTCACATTCTCTATTCATACGCCTTAAAACTTCTTCATTTCTAACGCGGTCGGTCCATGGAATTTTCAGCATACGACGAAATACCCACATCTCAAAGCTCTCTAAACGTCGTAACGAGCTGACTGTTGAAACAATACTGATATTAAAAATATATTTACCAATAGACAGTAACATCCATAAACATATAAAACTGCACATTCAAATAAAAATAATTTTATTATAACTTTCATTAACAAATTTAGAGTACACGGTACTAAGTATAACACTGTAACGACTAGATTAGGTTGATTTTTCCATTTGGTAAAAAATCAAAAATAATTTAAATATATTTTAAACGTTAACACAGCAGTCCAACATAGTTATATTCTAAGACACCCACTCAATCTTTGGTTAAATTAATTGAAATAGCACCAATGCACACGGCTCTTAAAATAATACTATTAAATGCTGAAGTTTTCATACATTAGAAAATTCACTAGAATGCACGGATATGTCGTCTGCATTGTCTATGGACATTTCATTGGCGTCACTGATACTACTCTTTGCTTGTTGCTGCTGCTGCTGTTGTTGCTGTTCATCAGCAATGTTGCCAGGTAGATAGTCCTTCCAAGATCTAAACAAATACCTCGTAAACTTCCTAAGCTGCCTGAATTTACAATAAGTAGCCCCTTCTGCGCTCTCCGTTTGCTGAGTCTGTATTAAAAAACCTTTTTCTTTAAAGGTTTGCTCCAATTTCTCCCTTTGTAAGCTCTTTCGAGATTTTCTCTTCTTCATTCGTTGACTGTGGTCTTGGCTTGACGATTGAGCTGTAGTAAAAGTTGCTGCGGGAATTTCTGGACTCATAAGAAACTCGGAACTTGTTTTGGCTCCAGGAAAATCAGGTGGTGGTGTTGGATAGATCTTTTCTCCACTAGCTTGTAAAAAAGCACCTGTGGATGACCCATGTGTTGTATTTACTTGTTGCTGTAGTGTTTCTCTTGGAAAAAACTCGTATCCTCTCATTGATTTATCGCCAGTACCACTGTAGTACCTGAAATAAATTAATAATTTTAACAATATGTTCAACAAATTAACTAAAATACTTAATAGAAAAAGTAAATATCGATCTCAAAAACGCAAGGGTTCTTCGATTTTATAATTTTCGACCATATAGAAGATTCCTTTAAAACCATAGTTCCTTTTACAAGTTTTTATATAAAAATATAGATAATAGCCTAATAAAAAGATATAAAAGTGAGATTAAATGGTCAACATATGAACATATATTTGAGTGAATCCTTAATGACACCTTGGGCTATAGAAATACAAACTTTATTGTTTTTAAGAAAACATACTCTTATCTCGGCTGAGTTTTTGGAGGAAATAAAAAAATTGTAGCAATATGAACTAATGCCTGATGAAATAGTGGTCTTACCATTGATGGATAAGAAAGCGAGGAAGTTTCGGGGTTAAAGACTGCGGATCATTTGTGCCCAACCAATTAAATGTAAAAGTTCAGTTTTACTTTAAAAATGCCAAAGATATTCCTAATGTAAAACAAGAACACCTGTAAATTCCTTGGCATTCTTCTACAGAAAAAGCAATTACTATTAGAAAAATTAAATTAGCTTTAAATAGATCTAAAAAAATTTAATGGAAAGTCCCAAAAAATCTTGGAAGATATAAATAAAAAAACACATAATATTGGCCATTTCCTGCTTTGACTCATCCTTTATAACTTTTGTTATTTGTAACCTCCAAATTTGTAAACGTTCTGTTATACATTTTTTATGTACAGTGCGAAATAAAAATAAGGCAGATTTTCAAAGATATATTTTTTTAGGTGGGCTGCAAAGAATGATAATTTGTCAGAAAATCCCAAAATTAGCAAGATAAAATATTTTCTAGCAAGCTTCCTCCTCATCTATCCTTTATCCTTCGTAAGGATGTGGTGACGTTATGGTATTTGACGAATGGTTGCTATCCATTCTTCTCTCTCCTGGGCGCGGTGTGCTGCCTCAGACAGAGAGTAACCGGTAGCGCACTTTATTTGGTCTGACCATCGGAGTGCGATCTTCCTCGAGTTCTTTTACCATCTACCTTGCCTTCAACCACCAACCTCTCCATGCCTTCCATTCGTCTGGTAATGTGTCCAAAGTACCTCAATATATTTTGGTTGATGATTGTGGTAAGCCTAGTATTGATGTCGAGTTCTGTCAATATTGAGACATTTGTGCGATGTGCTGTCCAGGGTATGCGCATCATTCTACGATATACCCACATTTCAAAGGCCATTATATGTCGTGAGTCGGACTTTTTAATGGTCCAAGTTTCTGACGCATAGGTAGCGATAGGAAAGATAAGCGTCCGTACTAGGCGCAGTTTCGTGTTCCTGGTTTTCCGTATCTTTCAAGCTTTTAGTAAATTTGACCGTTGCTGATCTGGCCATTGTAAGGCGTCGACGTATCTCTTCTTCGCATCCACCGTTGTTTGTGACAACAGAACCTAAGTAATTAAAACGACTTACCACTTCAAACCCCGCTACGTTTCATATTTCCGGCTAGTTATTTCCAATTCGATCGATTATCATTACCTTGGTCTTCTATACATTAATTATCTCTCGCTTATTATAGATAGCAGAATTTTACTTGCGTGGGAGATCAGGGCTATCTTATTTTTCCTGTGTCATCTCCTCTAAGGAGGTTGGCAACCATCATGGCAATTCGCACTTTCTATACCGCTGCTCCAAAGAGGTCAGCAGAAGTGCAGTTAAACTAAGCTTACAAATTGTTTAACCAGGAGATGCGTCTTCTTGCGCGATTCCTTCTACCCTGTATTCTTCCTTGCATTATTAATTGCAATAAGTTATAACGCTCGTCCCTGATGACATGTCCTAGATATTGCAGTTTTCTGAATTTAATTGTATTTAAAACCTCTTTATCTTTTCACATTCTTCTCAACACCTCAACATTCGTGACTCTATGAACCCAACGTATTCTTAATATCCTTCTGTACATCTTTTTTTAATATCCAAGCCTCCAACCCCTAAAATAATACAAAGAACACGTAGCATCTCAGAAGACTTATTTTTAAAGAAATTGTCCCTGCTGCAGTGTACTTTTTTCAGTTTGTTGAAAGAATTTCTTGCCTGTCCTATTCTTGCCTTAATCTCTTCTGTGTACTCATTATTTTCGTTAATTATTGTATCAAGATATTTATATATTTCAACTTTTTTAATTTGTTCTCTATGTATTGTTATGTTTTCTTGGCATTGTTGGGCTTTTGTAATTACCATATATTTTGTCTTTTTTGTATTAAGGGACAGTTCGTTTACTTCACTGACTTCTACCACTCTGTCAACCATTTGTTGCAAATCCTTAAGATCAGGGCTATAGTGCGGTAGTTATGCTAGCAAGCAATTTATTCGAAATAAACAGATAAGATTCCAATACAAGCTGCATCATGCTGCATTTGCATCATGCTGATACAGCAATACAATTCCATATATATCAAGGTTGACGACGCGAAACTTATTGAAACTATTGTGGTCCATTTTGTGTTGTGCAAAAGTTTTAATCATGGACCAATCATATTATGAACGAAATGCTGTTGCACAGAATGGAAAGCAACACAGAACTTTTCACCACCATTAAAAGGAGAAAGACTGCATATGTGAGGCACATACTTATAAATGAGAAGTACGAGTTGTTACAGCTAAATATGAAGGATAAATCGATGGAAAAAGGGGGTCCTGATAGACGACAAATTATATCCTGACTAAAAAACATTCGCGAATGGACCGGGTTGAATACACAGACGCTTTTAAGAGACGCAAACGATAGAAACGAATTTACAACGGTAATAGCCAACCTACATTAGTGGAATCGGCATCAGAAGGAGAAAAGATTTAAATATAAACTGCTGGATTAAAATTATCATTGTATTTGACAATATTTTACGTCTGAAAATTGAATTCGCATGTACTGCAAAATGTAATTAGATTTTCGTCGTGATAGGACTTTAAAGATGAAACAACTCAATAGAGAAGCAATATACCTATAGTGAACTATATGCAGAACTTACCCTTCCAGCACATTAAAAAAATAAAATTATCCCATTAAGGGATAACCCATTAGTCGATTTTAATGGACTAATGGGTCGATTATACAAACTAATATAAATGTGAAAAATATCAAGACCTGCGTACCTGAAATTACCTCCAGAATCTACTGAAAGCATCTTCTTCTCCTGTAAGCTAGGTTTCGCACCTCCAGTAAACTTAAACTTACAAATACTGACTTCGGTAGCTGGATTAGTATTGTTTTCTGGTGGAATTGGGGGTATAAATATAGCGGACCGTTTTCTTTTGGTAGGCGATTTGTGGTTTTCAGAATGCGAAGCATTTCTTTTTTTGGCATCTGGAGCTTGCAACGGAGAAGCAACTTCTTCACGATTTACTGTAACAAAAATATTCCGTAACAACATTATATGAAAAAAAATTATGTAAGCTAGAAAGAAAATGTGGACAAATGAAATTTTTTTCCGATTTTGCATTTTACAGGGATTTTAAATTTTATTTTCTAATGCATATTTTAAAAATTACTATTAGTTAAATAACTATTTAATTTGCATTTTTTTGCTACCTCCCTCTGTTCTCTTAGTCAAAATCCCACTGGACGCTAATTTCAAAAAAATTGTTATAAATATTTTTAATGTCCTAAAAAGTTAAAAAATTCACACCCATTTTAGTTTTATTATAAAATAGTAGCTAGATTTACTAACCTTTAGGAGAGCTAGGCTTAGGTTTGATGACTCTTGGTACCATTTTCCTCAGTTCGTTAACTCCATGATCTTTACTGCTACTAGAATTTGTTTCGGAAGGAGGTTTTGGGCTATGACTATTTGGTAGCACATAACTATTGCCGGATGCCATTCTTTGATACATCATCAATTGCTGTTGTAAAGCAATAGGATGTATAAAGACTCCAGCGTTGGACCAGTACACGTATCCTCCCGGACCAGGTACTCCATCTACGGCCTTAACTATCGGCTCAATTGGCAGATTCCCATCAGGAATTGGAAATCGTGGTTCAATCACCGATGAATTCGGACTAGGAGATTCTTGAATTAGCTCTACGTCATCGTCCGAATGCGGTTCTGATTTAATTTCTGATGTGTAAGTATTGTCATTTTTCTTTAGCAGTCTTATTTTTAAATGATTAAGGTCCCTTATGCAAAGATTAAGAGGTTCATCTTGGTTCGATTTTTCCTAGAAAGAAAGTAACAAATTCTACTTAATTTGTTTAATGCTTATAATAAACAGTATGACCAATAAATGGAGAAAAATACCGGCAATGTTGGTTATACTACGTAACGGACTGTTGATTATGGTATGTATAGATCACATAAGAAAAGAATGTTATGAAAAGTCAAATCGCAAGTCAAAAATAGGAATGAAAATTCATATTTGATAAAATCTAGAGATGATAATGGAAAGGATGAAGGAAAGATTTTGTCACTGGATCACTTACACCCAAAAGCTATTTAATGATGAAAGGGAAAAACTATCACTAGAAACCATAGAGGAAACCGGACCACCAATATTGCGGGAAGAAGTCATTTATGCCATCAAAATCCAAAAGAGGGCAAAGCTACCGGACCAGATGATGTGCCCATCGAATTATTATAACTCATTGATAAAGATGTTATTGATGTAATGGTTGAACTCTTTAATCTAATATATCAAACTGTCACAAACCCCAGACAATGGCTGCAATCGACCTTTGTGGCAATACCCAAAATGTCATGTGCAATATCCTGGTCAGATCACAGAACAATATTTTTAATGGGTCACACACTTAAAACATTTTTGACAATAATACACAGCAGAATTATTAACACTCTTGATGCAAAAAGACAGTCGTAGTATGAAAATTAAATCTAATCTGTATTGAAATCAAACTTCCAAGGTAAGAGTTGACAACTAGAACACCTGAGATATCAAAATAGAGGAGGAGTCCGCCAGGGTTGCGTGCTGTCATCACTACTCTTTAATGTCTACAGCTAAGCGGTATTTACAGAAGCGCACTCAACTTCAATAGAAGGTATATCTATCAATGGAGAAATTTTAAACAACTTGTGTTTTGCAGACGATACAGTAATAATGACGGATAACAACAATGATTTACAGAACGTAATGCAGGATCAATTTGAAAAAAAAAACTTAATGCACGATAATGACTAAATCAGCCAAGGCAAACATATAATTGAAAATTGAGGATACCGTAATTTAGAGTGTCCATACCTACAAAAACTTAGAAACGTGAATAACATCAAATGTAGACCAAACCGAAGAAATTAAGACACATATTGAAATAGCATCATCGTTAAACTTAAAAAGTTTCTTTGAAGTTGGGATATAAGGTTAGGACTACGCCTAAGAATGCTTCGGTGTAACGTATTTACTACTCTTCTTTATGGTTTGAAAGCATGGACATTTAAACAAGTGCATCTAAATAAGTTGACCGCCTTTGAATTTTGGTGTTATAGAAGAATCCTATGAATATTATGGACTCAAAGAATGTCAAACGCAGAAGTTACTAGAAGAATAGGAAATAAAGCTAAAATAATATTGACTATCAAAAGAAGAAAACTTTAGTACTTAGATCATGTTATGAGAGGCAAATATACTCATTATTGCAGCTTATTATATAATACAAAATACGAGGAAAACGAAATGTGAAAAGAATAAGAATACGCAGCCATGATGATTTCCAACCTTCGATGGAAGATTTTACTTAATTAAGAAGAGATGATAATGGGCTTGTACACCAAGACGATTTCCAAAACGCAATATCAAATACGCAACATCCAATAAATATTACCGGTTCATATGTATCTCTTGAATGCACTTAAAGTACTTAGACGCATTGGACCTAGTAGCAACAGCAACATAGCAACTAGTTGCTATCAACAAATCCTCACAGACACTACGTCTAAGGACTACCAATCCCAGTGGATTCCTATGTTGCCATGTGATCATTTCCTTTTATAATTTAAAGATCTTAATTTTTAAATATTGCAATTAATTGGATAATATAGGTACTTACCTCTTTTGAACTCTTTTTGATATCCTTAGTTCTACTAAATTCTTGGGTCAGTCTTTTTTCGAGTAAACTAGATATTATTCTGTTCTGAACATCGCTTCTGTTCAAACTATCCTCTTTACTATCCATCAAAGCCGACTTTTTAAAAATATTGGGATCTTTTTCTAAATAATTTCCAGGATTAGGAGTTCCGGGAAAAATGGTTCCGTAATTTTTATAAATAAGGTGGCAGATATCGGCTTTCTTCGGTTTCCTTCCTCTACGCGGTTTTGAGTTGTCCAATGTCATTTCGCCCATGTACGGAAGGTCTTGATATTTTACAACTCGGCTGGAATTCTGACTTGTCGACGTAGAAGAGTTCACAGGATTCAAGGAATTATTTATTGCCTAAAAATTTAAAATTATTAGTATACTATATTAGTATAATTTATTTCATGAATTACCGTTTTTTTAATACAATTTAAATTATCGCCAACTAAACATAGGGAATACTTGAGACGTAGTACCTTCAAGTATTTTGTTTTATTGTGATTAAATATTAGTCCCTGTGTTCTTTGCTTCACTTATAGACTAATAGGACCGAAAATACATATCTTAGGTCGTTTTGACAAACTGCTGTATTTAATTTTTCTGTCTTATTGTATTCTATTGGTTGAATTCTGTCATTTGAGATAGATACTGTGCGTTACGATTGGACTAATAAGACCGAAGATACGTGACTACAACCATTTTACCATGTTGCTGTGTTTGATTTTTCTGTTTCATTGTATTCGATTATTTAAATCTTATTATTTAAGGTACTGTACGTCACGATTGGACTAATAGAACAGAAGATATGTGACTAAGAACCTTTGTCATGTTGCTGTATTTTAATTTTCTGTTTCAGGGTATTATATTGGTTAAATTTTATTATTTGAGGATGTCACAATTGGACTCATGGGAGCAAAGATACGTAACTAAGGTCCTGTTGACATGCTGCTGTATTAGATTTTTCTGTTTCATTCTATTTTATTAGTTAAATCCCATCATTCCAGGTACTATACGTCACGATTGGACTAATAGAACCGAAGATACGTGACTAAGGCCCTTTTTACATGTTGTTGTATTTGATATTTCTGTCTTATAGTATTTTACTGCTTAAATCCTTTCATTTTTGCTGTATGTCACGACTGAATCAATTGGAGCGAAGATACAATAGGTAGGTGTAATATATCATAACCCGTTACTTTTAACCAAACATGATGCCAGAATGATCTATGGATGAAACATATATTTAAATTCTCAAATTGACTATTTCGTTGTGGGTAATATTGTATTCAATTTATTGACGCCAAATTTGTGATGCTAAAATGATTGATAATAAACATGAGATATACATTTTCATGTATATAGCGGCAGCGAGTAAACGGTAATACTAAACTAAACGGTAAATAAACTTAGGAAGGGATAAAAAAAGAAGCGAAAATTTTAAAGTACCAACACGGCATCAAATCTCTAACTGTTGAGATGGTTAAACATCTTGTAACAAGTACAAGTACAGGTAAAAAGTTATAAGTAAGGTAAAAGCATATTGTATTGATGCCAAAATGATATATATATATATATATATATATATATATATATATATATATATATATAACACTGTTTTTGATGGGTTGGAGTCAATAAAAGGGGCTATTTGTTGACTATTTTTTACTCGAGCTTTCAATTGTGATTACAATTTTTATCAAGAGCTTCTAAAAAATACAAAATGTCTTACAAAGTTGAACTAGAAATAAAAAATTTTTTGTTAACTCACCAAATAAAATTAGTTTTTTATATAAAACTACTGCTTACATAATAAATACAAAAAATATTAATAAAAAAATGCCTTATTCTAACAAATGTTTCTCTGAAAAATTTAGATGAAGTTTCTTAAGAAAAAAAAATTGAAATTATAAACAAATATAGAATAGCTACAACCAGCCTAAAACGTCATAAATACTAACTTAAAAATTTTTATTTTTGACATATTGTCAAAAATAAAATTTTGTTTAAAAAATTCTTCTTTGTTTAGTAACAAAAAAGAAGAAAATTTATTCACCATTGATAGATGCCCGGAAAAATGTAACAAATACATGGAAAATTCAAAATGTGATATTTTACTGACTGCATAAATTAAATAGAAATTATATAATTATAAATTTTGCTTAAATTTTGAATTTCTGACCTTTTGTTTAAATTATTATCACTTTTGCTAATACAAACCATTTCCAAAAAAGTTCTTTTAAATTTATTACTTTCATTACATAAAATTTTAATATTATCAAAATCCATAATATGGTCTTTGTCTATTACATGCTCTGCCAAAGCACAAGATGGTTTCTTAATTCTACAATCACTCTTGTGAGAAATAATGCGATTAGAGAGATTTCTTCCAGTCTCACCAATATACTCAGCTTCACACTGAGTACAAACAATGCTGTAAACTACATTTGTTTGATCTAATTTGTCTATAGGATATTTAGTTTTGGAATATAAAGATGAAATAGTTTTGATGTTCTTTGTTGCTATTTTTATATTGTCAATAACCTTTAATGTTTGTATTAATTTAGGAGTTAATGATGGTATAAAAGGTAGTGAATGATAATATATGTTTTGATTGTTGGATACAGTGTTTTGAGATTTAGCAAAAAATGGTGTTAAGTTATTTATATTTAATAAATTAGAAAAAAGCATCCTATGTAGCATATCAGGAGGATAAGAGTTTTCAATTAAAATATTTTTTAACAAATGAAGATCTTCTTGTAGGTAGTCTGGATGAGAAAGTTTTAAAACACGTTCCTTTAATCCTGTTATAAGGTTCATTTTCATTTTATTTGGATGATTAGAGTAATAGCTTATAAATCTATTACTACATATGGGTTTTCTGAACCATCTAGTTTTCAACATATTGTCTGTATTTCTTACAATTCTCATGTCAAGGAATGGTAGAGAATTATCTACCTCTTCCTCAACTGTAAATTGTATATGTTGATTATGATTGTTGAAAATGTTGACTGTTTCAAGAATTTTGTGTTTAGGAAGTGCCAAAACTAGATCATCTACATATCTTTTGATAAATGGAATGAAAAAAGTGCAATTATTGATACAATCACTAATAACATCATCCATGACATAGCTACTTAGAATGGGTGAAAGACTAGATCCCATAGGGCTACCAAAAATTTGTTTATAAAAAACACCATTAAATATAAAAATATTAGAATCAAAAACAAAGTTGATGAGTGTTTTAAAATGTAATAAGTCAATATTAGTATGTTGCGAAATCTCATTCCAATGTTTTTCAACACTACTTATGATTAAATTTAAAGGTAAATTAGTAAAAAGAGATGTTACATCAAAACTAACTAAAACATAATTTTGTGGTAATTGGAAATTATTAATGAAAGAACTAAAATCAAATGAATCTTTTATGTAAAAATTGTTGTTTAAATTATAAGCATTGGTTAAGATGTCAGTGAGGAGCTGTGCTATTGGTCCATTTGGAGGGCATAGAGATGAAACAATTGGTCTCATAGATAAAGTTGGTTTATGTATTTTAGGTAGAGCATAAAACCGTGGTGCAATAGAATTATAAATTTTGAGTTCTTTTGCTTTTTTATTATCAATAAATTTCTTACTGTTTAATTTTGATACTAGATAATTTGCTTTTTGTTGTAAAGTACAAACAGGACTCCTTCTAAGTGTAGTGTAATACTTAGTATCATTTAAGAGTTCTCCAGTTTTTTGTATGTAATCCTCTTTATACATTACAACAGTTACGTTACCTTTATCGCTTTTGACAATATAAATTTCACCCATTCTAAGTAGCTATGTCATGGATGATGTTATTAGTGATTGTATCAATAATTGCACTTTTTTCATTCCATTTATCAAAAGATATGTAGATGATCTAGTTTTGGCACTTCCTAAACACAAAATTCTTGAAACAGTCAACATTTTCAACAATCATAATCAACATATACAATTTACAGTTGAGGAAGAGGTAGATAATTCTCTACCATTCCTTGACATGAGAATTGTAAGAAATACAGACAATATGTTGAAAACTAGATGGTTCAGAAAACCCATATGTAGTAATAGATTTATAAGCTATTACTCTAATCATCCAAATAAAATGAAAATGAACCTTATAACAGGATTAAAGGAACGTGTTTTAAAACTTTCTCATCCAGACTACCTACAAGAAGATCTTCATTTGTTAAAAAATATTTTAATTGAAAACTCTTATCCTCCTGATATGCTACATAGGATGCTTTTTTCTAATTTATTAAATATAAATAACTTAACACCATTTTTTGCTAAATCTCAAAACACTGTATCCAACAATCAAAACATATATTATCATTCACTACCTTTTATACCATCATTAACTCCTAAATTAATACAAACATTAAAGGTTATTGACAATATAAAAATAGCAACAAAGAACATCAAAACTATTTCATCTTTATATTCCAAAACTAAATATCCTATAGACAAATTAGATCAAACAAATGTAGTTTACAGCATTGTTTGTACTCAGTGTGAAGCTGAGTATATTGGTGAGACTGGAAGAAATCTCTCTAATCGCATTATTTCTCACAAGAGTGATTGTAGAATTAAGAAACCATCTTGTGCTTTGGCAGAGCATGTAATAGACAAAGACCATATTATGGATTTTGATAATATTAAAATTTTATGTAATGAAAGTAATAAATTTAAAAGAACTTTTTTGGAAATGGTTTGTATTAGCAAAAGTGATAATAATTTAAACAAAAGGTCAGAAATTCAAAATTTAAGCAAAATTTATAATTATATAATTTCTATTTAATTTATGCAGTCAGTAAAATATCACATTTTGAATTTTCCATGTATTTGTTACATTTTTCCGGGCATCTATCAATGGTGAATAAATTTTCTTCTTTTTTGTTACTAAACAAAGAAGAATTTTTTAAACAAAATTTTATTTTTGACAATATGTCAAAAATAAAAATTTTTAAGTTAGTATTTATGACGTTTTAGGCTGGTTGTAGCTATTCTATATTTGTTTATAATTTCAATTTTTTTTCTTAAGAAACTTCATCTAAATTTTTCAGAGAAACATTTGTTAGAATAAGACATTTTTTTATTAATATTTTTTGTATTTATTATGTAAGCAGTAGTTTTATATAAAAAACTAATTTTATTTGGTGAGTTAACAAAAAATTTTTTATTTCTAGTTCAACTTTGTAAGACATTTTGTATTTTTTAGAAGCTCTTGATAAAAATTGTAATCACAATTGAAAGCTCGAGTAAAAAATAGTCAACAAATAGCCCCTTTTATTGACTCCAACCCATCAAAAACAGTGTTATATTTTTTCCAAACGAGTCACAAGTACTTCTTTTTTCTTACTCTTATATATATATATATATATATATATATATATAAATATATATAATATATATATATATATATATATATATAAAGTAGTATTCAATTAAACTAATACTTACAGAATTGGATGCTACTTGTCCACTGTTTCCTAATTCACTAAAGTACTTCTTCTGCATCTCACTTTGTACTTCGGTTATCCTCTGCAACCAACTTTTAATTGATTCATTAGGACTCTGCGTTGGGATTTGACTAAATACATTTTGATCGTCCTCTTTGGGAGATGGCGAATTTCCAAATTCCTCAGTCTCGTCCGACGAGTCATGGCTAGTAACTTCAACTTTTTCTATATCGTCTTCCAAGTTTATTCCTTTGTATCTGATGCCGTCAATCTCAGAACTAGAAATCAGACATATTGATAATAATCAAAATAATATAATTAGAATTTCACAGGTATGCAATATGCAGTATGAATAGAGCCAAGATACAAACATAGATAAATTGTACTTAAATCTCTTGCGAGTTGCAGATGATATTATAATAATTGACACTTCTGTACAAGAGCTTTAAGAAGTAGATCTAAAAATAGATATTAAGAAAATTAAGGTAATAGTAACCGAAAAAGTGGATATCACTTTGGATGATAACAAAATTGAAAATATATCTACTTGGGAAATAAAACAACTAAATGTGGAACTATGGAATGAAAGCCATGATATTTACTAACCAATGTCTGTAATACTAAACTTACAATAACTCAAAGAGCTATTAAGAGGATTATGGCCAACGCAAAATTAATCAGAAACCAATATATGTAAAAGCTTTTATCCGAGCTATCTCTAAATTTAAAAGGAAATTGTCAGGACATATGGCAAGATACAGCGAAGAGAAGTGAACAAAGAGACTTATACAATGACAATCAAAAACACATAAACGAGGCATATGAAAACCACAAAAAAGATGGAACAACGATACTGAAGACAAGATAGGAAGAAACTAGCACCAGGTAGCTCAACATAGGCGAACATGAACAACACAAGAGTAGGCCGATGTCCAGGAGTTAACTAGAAGAAGCTGTTAAAAAAGGAGAAGAAGATCTTCTCATAATTTTTGTCACAATCCCAATTTTGAAATTATAAAATGGTATAAAATTGAGTATACCAAACTCTTGTTAAATAATAAGTTTAGCAACAGGCATGAATGGTGTGGTGGACAGATTATTTCATGACTCAAAATGAAATCTAGGTTTTAATCCCATAAAGAATTTAGATTCCAAATAACTAGTAGAATGACAAAAGAACATTATTTTTAAAGACAGTAATGTCAACAAGTTTAAAACTAATTCTGGTTCGCTTATATTAATCCAAATGAAAAGCTGTCTTTTGTGAAAGCATTTAATCCAAATGAAAATGATATTATAATACTAGGATATAGGCTTATTTGTAATGTATTTTACAGAAAATTTCCTATATTCTTAAGTTTTAGTTTCTTTTTGGTTAGTTCATATAATGACCTTTATATTCAATAATCTAACATTAAATATCATAGTGATCAATAGCACATACTTCCAACATAAGCATATTAACCGACTCCTAAATCAGATATACCAGGTACTGATTGATTCAAGACATAGATCAAATAAGCTAGGCTGCAGAAGTTATGGACTCCAATCACTATCTTAAAGTTGGAAGTCTCAGAGAACGTATATCAAAAACAATTAAATATAACATTGACAAATGAAGTGTATTAACGTCGTAAGAAACTTTCAAATATGCTTAGATCGTAAACTGACAGAACATCCTAGAAGTGAAGTAGATCCTACTGAACTTACCACAAATTGGGAGTTAATTGTGTATAAAAACTACGCTGCAAAAGACCGCAGATTAAGTGTTGGGTAAGGTACCCAAAGGGCAACGAAACTACTGGTATTGAGAAATTTAAAAGGGTAACTAAAGAAAAGAATAACGCGTATTTGAAAATGATCAATTGAACGACTTGAAGCAATATTAAAGAATGTCGAGTAAAGAGAGGAGAGGAAAAAGAAACACACAAACAGAAAAAGCGGCAACAAATAAATAAAGAATTCGAAAAAATGGACAATATAAATAGATAACAGGAAAACAGAAAATTTTACAAATAAGTTAACACAAAAAGAAAAGTTTTGAAACCACAATTGAACAAGTTAAAGCTCATAATGGAATACTTTTTAATGAAAGAGTGGTAGCCAAATACCGAAAAAGTGGTAGCAACAGTTTAGTACGCAAATAATAGAGTAGTATAAGTAGTACAAGTAAAAGTAGCAAAAATAGAGATAGACAAGACGACCTCAGCTACATGATGAAGAAACTACAAGAAAAATATACCAAGGCTGGCCTAGATATTAACCTCGCGAAAACAGAGTAACTATCTACAAGTAAGAAGCCATAGAAGATCTACAGATTGACTACAATGTAACAATCAAAGAAAAGGATAAATTCATATACTTTATAATCACAAAAAAGGCAACAAAAGAAGAAGAAATTACGCAAAGATTAGGACAAACTAGAACAGCACATATCCCTAGATACAAAAATGAGACATTTGAGATGCTATGTTTTCTCTGTGTTGTTGTACGGGGCGGAGGCATGGACGCTTACAGACACCACTATTAAAAAACTTGAAGCATTTGAGATGTGGCTTTATAGAAGAATGCTGAGAATATCACGGACAACAAGGATCACGAACAAGGAAGTTCTAGGAAAAATGAAGAAGGAACCAGAGATTGTGTTTACGATCAATCGCATAAAATTGCAATATCTGGGACACGTTATGAGAAATCAGCACCGTTACTCCCTGCTGCAGTCTATATTGCAAGGTAAAGTCAAAGGTAAGCGAGGACCCGGTAGAAGGAGAATATCATGGCTGCGGAATTTAAGAACATGGTTTAAGAAAACCTCAACGGAGCTGTTTCGAGCCGCAGCGAGCAAGGTTATGATTGCCAATATGATTTCCAACATCCGAAACGGATAGGAACCAGAAGAAGAAGAAGAACAGCAATCCGACAACTTAACTCAGTATGGTGGGATAGACACCTAATTATGAAGACAAAAACACAAATTTATAAAACATTAGTGCAAAGTAGTATGACATATGGAGGCTGAAAATTGGATTATAAACAAGAAAAACAGCAGTAAGATAGTAGCAACAGAGATGGAATGCTTGCGAAGATGCTGGAGAGTAACAAGAATATATATTAGAAGTAATGACGAAATAAAGCAAAGAACATCAATAGAAACAGACATACTAACATATATAGAACAAAAAAGACTAAAGTGGTATAGGACGCAGATGTAAGAATAACGATGAGCATAGAAGAAAATAGACGACCCGCAGATCCTGGAGAAGCTAAGTAGACGACGCCATGAGTAAGAGAGGCCTCAACGATGGAGAATGGGACAACAGAGAGAGATGGAAACGGTTGAGCGAAAGAAGGCAGTGAATACTGTAGAATCCCTGAACATAATACGATACTATTGACAGACTCCAATTAAATTCGGCTATGACCTAATTTGGAATACCAAAACAATTGGTAGAATTAACTAAAATGAGAATAAATAAAGTCAAAGTTTAAGTGCTAACACAAGGGGAGTGCTAGTGCTCAAAACCATTTAAAAGGAATGGAGTACAGCGCTAGGAAGATGTAGTATCATAAACATGTAGTTCAACCTAGCATTAGAAAAAGTTATAAGAGACTAGGAATAAATTTAAAAAGTACGATATATACCCTTCTATACCAGTAATGGCATATTATGATGATATCGTGATCATTGGAAAAAACCCGAAATGAAGCACTTAGAGCTTTCGCAAGTATCAAAAACGCCACTGAAATCATCAGTCTTCTAATTAACACCAAGAAAACTAAATATATACCGCTACATTAAGAGTGCAAAATAACGTACAGGTGCAATACGAAACTATAGAAAGGATGAAAAAATTCTGCTGCTTAGGGTCACTGATGGACTGCGAGAAAACACATCCGCAGAAATAAGAAAAAGAATATGCCTGACTAACCGCTGTTATTTTGTCCCAGGCTCTCAACTATCTCTTATAATAATAAGCCCAGTGCTCACTCACGGATCGGAAATATGAGCAATTACTACTCCAGATAAAGCGTTACTACGAATCTTATACGGACCATATATGGCGAAGGGTCTGTGGAACAGGTAATATAATTTTGAAATCTAAAGACTTTTTGGTGATGTAGATATCGTAAAAACCATCAACATAAACCGCAAGATGGGTGCGCCATGTTTGCGGATTTATGAAGATGATTCTGCTAAAATCTCTAAACTAAATAAAACGGTCCAAAGAAGAAGAAGAAGGAGGCTAAAAGCAAATATCTGAAGAACGCGCAGGAAAATTTAAGGAAGACCATATATGGCGAAGGGTCTGTGGAACAGGTAATATAATTTTGAAATCTAAAGACTTTTTGGTGATGTGGATATCGTAAAAACCATCAACATAAACCGCAAGATGGGTGCGCCACGTTTGCGGATTTATAAAGATGATTCTGCTAAAATCTCTAAAATAAATAAAACGGTCCAAAGAAGAAGGAGGCTAAAAGCAAATATCTGAAGAACGTGCAGAAAAATTTAAGGGAGATTGGAGTAAGGAGATGGAGAAGACACATACTCGACAGGAAATAATTGAAGAATGTTTTAAGGTAGGAGAACGCTCTGTTGTTAATTTTTATAGCATACATTAAATTTGACATATGTCTCTAAAATAATAACTGAATCAGAAAAGCAATAATTTTAAAATATGTTCTTTTCCACCAATGATTGGAAGAAGCTAAAATAGTATAAAGCGAAACCAAAACTAGAATAAAATAATATTCAAAAGTAATGCAAACAAAGTCTTTAGTTAATGAAAATGATTACATACCTTATGTCCTCTACTTGTGGTTCTTCTTTTATTATGGAATGGTTAAGATCCTCACTTTTAAAAGTCATTTCGCTGGGGAATTCAACCTTCTTACAAATTACCGCTTCTAGTTCATCGGCTTGCATTGTTGCCTGTGCTGTAACAAAAACATATTTGTGACATATACATTAACATACAAAAACATATTGTGACATAACATTAAATCTTCGTTGCGATATTTATTTATAAAGACATCTAGTTATTACTATTAAATAATATTAAAAGCAATCAATAATAATTGTTGTCGAATTAGCTGGAAGTCAGATGGATTAGATGAAATACCAGTAGAACTGTTAAAACTAGATGGAAGAGGATAACTTGGAAGTACTAGCAGATTTATTCAACACAGTGTACGATACAGGAACAATACCACAAGAGTGGCTCAAGTCAGAATTTATAACCATCCCTAAAAAAACAAGTAGCAAAAGAGTGTTCTGATTATCGAACACTGAGCCTCATGAGTCATACTTTAAAGTACTGCTGAAAGTAAGACATAAGAAAATATACGAAATGCTAGAGGAGGATATTCGCGAGACGCAGTTCGGGTTCCGAAATGTAATGGGTACTCGAGAAGGACTATTTCTCATCAACATATTAATTCAGCGATGTCGGAATGTGAACGTTGATCTACACTTGTTCTTAGTTGACTACGAAAAAGCTTTTGATAAAGTAATACATAAAAAACTAATATCAATACCTGTGAACAAGCAGTTCTACAAATACAACTACAGCTGTTTCGGCTGATTGCCTTTCTCAAGTGAGAAACTTCACTTGAGAAAGGCAATCAGGCGAAACAGCTGTAGTGATAAGAGTTAAAATAAATTTTTGTGAAAGTTTGAAAACAAAGTTTTCAGTGTTTTATTGTTACCTCTATGGAAGGTTGTCATCTACTGCCTTGCGACATCTAGAATAACATGCGAGTTCAATATCCTATCTGCGGAAAGAGAAATGAAGAAGAAACATTATTGCTTCGTAACCTACATATATATATATATATATATATATATATATATATATATATATATAAATATATATATAAGCTTCTCGCCTCCTAATTTCCAGCGTCCCCTCCCCAGGATCGTCTTGGTCTACCCCATTTTCTTCTAGTTGGCAAAGTCCATTCTTCTATTTTTTTTTGACCATCTATTTTCCGGCATTCTCTGAAGGTGTCCATACCAGTTAAGTCTTTTGGCTTCGATTGTGTCTATTATGTCTAGATCCATTTCCATTTCTCTCAGAATATCTTCGTTTCTCACCCTATCAAGTCTAGTGAGCTGGCAACATCGTCTCCAGTAGTTCATTTCCGTGGCCTTAATTTTTGATTTGTTTCTTTGGTTTATTTCCCAGAGTTCGACACCGTACAGTCTAATACTTTCTGTTATTGTTTTATAAATTCTTCTTTTATTTTCTTTTGTTATTTTTTTTGTTCCATAATAGTCCGTGTAGCTGTCTGGTGGCTGATCTTGCTTGGCCAATCCTGGAATGTATTTCTTGACTACTTCCTGCTTTTGATGTTATTTGGACTCCCAAGTAGTTAAAATTGTCTGTTGGTTTTATAGTTTTCATTTCGATTTGTAGGCTTTCTGGTTTCTCTCAGCGAAGTGTATCGTGTACAATCTATCATCGCCGATTGGGATGCCCATATTACAGCACTTTCTTCTCCACAGTGAGAGTGCCTCATTTAGGTATATTTTGAAGAGTGTAGGTGCTATGCAGCAGCCTTGCTTTAGGCCCCTACTAATAGGAATTTCTCTAGTTAATCTATTTCCAGTTTTAATGTTTGCCGTCATATTTTTGTAGAGCTATTGTACTGCTTGTATATTTTTTTTTGCTTATTGGTTGTTTTTTTCATTCTACCTAAAGCATTGAAAGTGGTACACTATCGTATGCCTTTGTCAGATCTATAAAGACTATATGAGTTGAAAGGTTGTGGGCTAATCTTTTTTCGATAACTTGCTTTAGAGAGAATATACTGTCCATACAGGATCTGCCTGCACGAAAGCCATTCTGTTCTTCTACATCTGTCATCTCTTTTTCAATTTTATTTTTTATAATTTTTCCATACAGTCTTGAGAGTGAATTTATGACACTTAGCCCCCTGTAGTTTGAGCAATTCTTTCTATCTCCTTTTTTGTAGATGTTGTTAATATGTGCTTTTGTCCACTCCGGTGATAAGTCGTGTCCATTATAGAATAAGGTGAAGACATACGCCAGTAATTCCCGTAATACTTGTGGGCTATGTTTTAATAATTCATTTGGTATACCTTGTGGTCCACATGACTTCCGATTTTTTAGAGTTCGAATTGCATACTCGACTTCGTGTACTGTTATTTCATCGTCCTCACTGAATTCCAGTTCATATGTTGTTGTACCGATGTTCGTGAATTGAGGTCCTGTTTCAGTCAAAAGTTGTGAGTAGTGTTCGATCCAAGATCTTTCTTCTATTAAATCTATTCTACTCGTTTCTTTTCTGTTTGTTCTCAGATTTTTTGCTTTAATCAGTAGACCCTCTTCAGATTTGAGGTTATGATGGTCAACGTTCAGTAATGGATATAGTAAGTATGGAGAGAAAAGGAGAGGGTTATGACAATTAAAATAAATTATTAGTTAATTCTTCATTTTACGAAATATTTGCTTCTACTTATAAATTAACTGCTTTAAATATTATAAGGAAGGACAAAAAATATTTTAGTATGTAAAGACCAACCGCGCCAAATATCTAAGTTGATCTTTGATTCAAAAATTAATATTTTCAGATTCACTAAAACGTAATAAGCAACGCTATCTGACATACACCTAGACTTTTTTTAGAACTTTAATTTTTATTTGGGTCAAGTTTTGTAAAATTCTTTACTGCTGCTTTACGCGTTCTATTTTTAAGATTATATGATTGACTGCTGAAAATATGCTACCATTTCCTTCACGATTGTGTAAGACGTTTCTACGTTTATAAATAAGTTTCTGTTGTTTGAAGCTAATGAAAAATATTTTGGCAATTTAAATAACACAGTTTTAATAAAATCTTGGAAATTGTCAAGATTTTAACTTGTTTATACAATGTATTTACTAAAGAATTTAGATGATTGAAACTAAAAAAAAACCTTTCTCTGCCTGCGTAAGCCTCATAAAGCCATACGATTCAATCATCATTTGGTAACTATTTAATCAAATTCAAGTTCTAAGAAAATCAACGGATAACAACTGAGTTCCACGACAAAACAGTTAAATCTAGAAGTTCAACACATTTAGGAAGATGTTGGAAGTAAAATTAGGGTACAACTATAGATATTCCGGAAGTGATCCGGCGGTAGTTCAAAGACTTGGTAGGTAGATCTGGAGTGAATGATAGTTATGACCATTGATTTTGAGAAGCTATGTCGATGATTCTGATAACTTCAGGAAAAAGACAATACCTATTATGTCTATAAAAAAAAGTTAAAGACTTGACAGTTAGACATAGAAAGAGAAAAAAAAACAATATTAAGGAATACTAATAAATACAAAGAACAAATAATTATAGGTACAGAAGACAAACTGAAGAGATGGAAAGAATACATTCAGACATTTTGTGTCAATGCTAGACCTTGTTCTTCATCATCCACGAATGATCGAATAAATAAAGAAGGTCCAAAATTAACAAAAGAAAAAGTTATTTATGCAGTCAAAGCTCAGAAGAACAGAAAAGACACCGGAAAGTGAATGCCTCGACTTAAAAACAACATTATTCAATAAGATATATGACACAGGTAAAATACCGTCAGACTGGCTAAAATCAACATTCGTAACATTACCAAAAAAATCCATTGCCACACACTGCGATGACTATCGAATATAACATGATGTCTCATGTCCTTAAAACTTTTCTCAGAATCATTCCTACACGAATTTACAAGAAGTGTGAGTTTCAGATGAGTGACACTCAATTTGAATTTCGAAATGGATTGGGAACACAAAAAGCACTTTTTGCCTGAAATGAGTTAACACAATGATGAAATGAGTTAACACGAAGACGTGTGAATTATGTTAGAACTATATTGGCACGAAACGGCAACAATTGAAATAGAGCACACAAAATCAAAAGATATACGAATCCGACAAGGAGTGCATCTGTATTCGAAATCTTTATTCTATATTAGGCGAGGTTTAAATTGAAATGAAAAATAACGCAACCAGCATAGATACGCTGATGTTGTCAGTTGCGTCATAGCAAAATGTTCGCTTTACATCTAAATGTTTTCAAAACTAAAATTTTAGTATTTTCAAAGATACCAACAAACGTAAATCTGTACAGCCAGTGTAACCCAAAATAAGAAATCCTATCAAGAATCAAACAAGCGAGGACAACACTCAAGAATATAAAAACATATTGTTCTGAAGCTATTTTCTTGTGGCATTGTAAATTAATTACTATTTAACTGGGAATAAGCCATAACGTAGAATAGGGTTGACATGGGCAGCTTATGGAAAGCTAAGAGATGTTTTCCAATCAGCTCTTCCCATCTGCTTGAAGAGAAAAGTCTTCGATCAATGTGTGCTGCCGGTTCTAACCTATGGTGCGGAGACGCTAACACTTACTAAGACGTCCGCAAACAAAATTCGAACAACACAGAGGGCAATGGAACGGTCCATGTTGGGATTAACCCTGAGAGACCGAATACCCAACACAGAATTGCGCCGTAGATCGGGAGTAACCGACGCAATCAAAAGAATATCAACCTTAAAATGGAACTGGGCAGGGCACGTCGCGAGAACGAAGGACGGCAGATGGACAAAACGCATTCTTGAGTGGAGACCCAGACAAGATGCATTTAGGAATAGAGGACGACCACCAACAAGATGGACGGATGACCTGAAACGGACACATCAAAATTGGATGCAGGCGGCTCAGGACAGAAATTTGTGGGGTGAACTACGGGAGGCCTATGTTCAGCAGTGGACGAGTATGGGCTGAATGATGATAAAGCCATAATTAAAGATAAAAATACGTTTATTGACGTTTCCATTTCCACTTCGGAAAACGTTCTCAAAATACAAACAGTAAATTAAACAAATTTTGTTTTTTAACATATGTAACAAAAAACAAAATTTGTTTAATTGAGTGTTTGTATTTTGAGAACGATTTCCGAAGTGGAAATTGAAACGTCAATAAACGTATTTTTATCTTTAATTGTGGCTTATTCCCAGTTAAATAGTAATTAATATAAAAACATTTTTTGCAAGATCAGACTTTGGTCTAGAGTTTAGAATTCGAATGATTAGATGTTATGTTTTCTCTGTTTGGCTGTATGGCTGTTGAATTGGACAATGACCTCTAAAACAGGAAAAACAATGTACTCGGTTGACATGTATATATACAGAATAATGCTGAGAATTCCATGGATATAAAAAAAAGTTACCAATGGTGAGAGAGTAAACAAAAAGAATTACTCAGCATAATCAAAGAGAAAAAAATACAATACTTGGGTCATGTGTTGAGAGGTGAAAGGTATGAATTATTCCAAATCATATTGAAATTTAAAGTGCTGGGCAAAAGATCAGTTGGAAGATGCCAGAACTCGTAGCTGAAAGACCTGAGTAGATTTTTTGACCTCTCATCTACAGAAATCTTTCGTGAAGTAGTTTGCAAAGCTACAATTGCCATTTGGATCACTAACCTTTAAAAGGAGACAGTGCAATAAGATGAAGATGATTTTGATAGAGGGTAGATCTACCCTCCATGGATATAAAAAAAAGTTACCAATGGTGAGAGAGTAAACAAAAAGAATTACTCAGCATAATCAAAGAGAAAAAAATACAATACTTGGGTCATGTGTTGAGAGGTGAAAGGTATGAATTATTCCAAATCATATTGAAATTTAAAGTGCTGGGCAAAAGATCAGTTGGAAGATGCCAGAACTCGTAGCTGAAAGACCTGAGTAGATTTTTTGACCTCTCATCTACAGAAATCTTTCGTGAAGTAGTTTGCAAAGCTACAATTGCCATTTGGATCACTAACCTTTAAAAGGAGACAGTGCAATAAGATGAAGATGATTTTGATAGAGGGTAGATCTACTTCAAGAAACCGATCCTGGTCACGCGAGCTGTGGTTCTCTTAGCTGGACGAAATGAAAGAAAAGATGGGAAGACAATGGCACCAGGTAGTAAAAGATAAACTAAAATGTTAACGCCTATGGAAATAGATTATTTAAAAATATATTTAAAGTAAGGAAATCAAAATCAAAGTCATCAGAGTACAATATTTGTTACAGTACTCAGTATTAATGTTCCATACACAGTTAACTTCTACAGTTTCATGATATAATAGAGGACAAAAAATATTATATCTCTACCAGTTCTTAAATCATGGTATAGGCAAATGTATACGTAAATATTTTAAATAAATAACTTGACAATAAAAAGGGAATTTAATTACAGCTGCTATAAACTATATTATTGTAAATGATATAATAAATAAAAGCTGGAAATCATTGAATTAATGAAGAAGGATTATGTAAACCTTGTATATACCGATGAGTCTTGATCTAACGTCGCGTCGGTACTTCAGACAAAAAGAATGTAGGGACATAACGATCAATAATCCACGAGTTTCCTTCATAAAAGTGCTCCCTACTGGACTGAAAGCTTTAACCGAAAGAGGGGCTCAGTTTGTTTTTCTTCATGCTGGAAGCAAAACTGGTTTTAAGGCATGGGCTTTTGTTAGTCAAAAAGGGAACCACTGGCAAATCAAAAAGAACAGTTTTTTCGGGAAGATTACCTAAAAAGTGAATTACTGGATACTGTGGCCGCATTTAGAGACAAGGACGAAATTGAAACAGTTGCGAAAAAATATGGATTTAAGATTTTGAGACTGCTGCCTTACCATTGGCTATAAAAAGATTTATAGCCAATCGGCTATAAATCTCTTCATATTTTTTCATACATTTCGTTGTTTTAATCAGTTTTTTGTTTGAATATTATTTTCCAATTACTTGTCTTTTGTTTTATGAAATTTACTTCAACGCCTTCTCAGGTTTTCTGTGTGATATGTTAAAAATCATTTCCGCTCCTAAACTTGGTTTAGTCTTGCATTTCTAAGTTTGTTTGATCTATTGTTGCTTTATTTCTTGTTGCTTTTTAGCAATCTACGTATAACTATTTTTTTTTTGTCATGTTACTAGCTTCTTTTTTGGTGACTGAATAAACAAAAATAAACACCAACATTAGAAATGAGGCGGGTTGAATAGCTTAATAATTGGTCACTATTACGCAAAAGATTTGACCAACCTGGCGAAAATATCTTGATAATTTTAAAGTATTAACTGGGCTCGGGTCGAACCATTCTGAATAAAATAGATACATTGGACCAAATCAGATAAGAATAGCGAATAGTTGAAGCACAGCGCTGGTCCTGTTTTCTTCTTGGTATACGGTAGGCTCAAAAAATAGCAAAGTATCTTTCTACACACCTACAAAAAACTGACGTTAAAAAGAAAACTATTATTATTAGAGGATTATTTGTGTTTTTTACAGAAAACACCAAGAAACTCGAGGTATCTCGGCAACGCTTATAAGAAGCCTTAAGGAGGAAATTCTTGAGGAAAAAGGGTGTTGACACTGGTAAGACCAATATACCATGCAAAATATGAAACGTGCAAGTACGTTTATTTAGAATATAATAAGAAAATTTTTAAAAAATGCTGCAAATTGCTTCCTAAAAGATTTTTGCCGTGGAAAAATTTATTTTAAATCGCCTTAATGGATATTAAGATACAGTGCTCCCAGAGAACTACCCAGATAACCTGATGTTAGGAAATAAATTAGAGTCTATAATAAAGGCCTAATGAAAATTATCAACAAAGATAACAAATAATGAGAAACAGTCGTTTAAAAATTCAAAAAACTTAACAAAACGGAGTAAAAAGTTGTCTAAAACCAAACATGTGCTAGGGTACCTTTCATACATCAAAAGTGGGGATCTAAAGATAACATTACTAAATCTTTTAAACGAAAAAGACTCAGGTGATGAACAATCTTAGGCTGCAAGTTATACTGGAAGTGTAATAACAAGAGAAGTAATGCTTTAAGACATAGAAAGAACCAATATACGAATCCTGAACCTGAAAACCTAGAACAATCATTTTTATATAGGAGGCCAAAAAGATGAAGACAGAAGAAACATCACAACGGCAGTAAGTTGGACATTTAAAAGATTAAATTCTGACAGAAAGACGGTATAAGATTTAATTTTAATTGCAGTGCATCTGCAAGCCGCTTATAAGTATTGCAACCTCTTTAGGTCTCATCAGAACGGACATATGCAGTTGTTCAGAATCGAAACAAAATCTCTTCCGTCATAAGTCAATAATTATAAAAATAGTTATAAAATTATAATTAAATTTTGGTGTAATAAAGTTACTGTAGTTTATCTAGACCACCAGACTGATATAGTAAAATTTAATAAAAGGGCAGTATTTAATACAAAGATCTTACTAAATAATTGTCAGATTGTCAGAGTATTTTTGTTATTTTATTTTCATCAATATTACCAAAATCAATTATTACCATAAACACGTATTATATCCAAAGTTATAGACAAGCCATTATATTGTGTAAAAGTTAAAATTATTTTAGAATTTAATTAAGTATTTACAATATTTTATAAAGAGATAAAAAATACGTGCATTGAAATAGGCGAGATCATCGAAGAAATTATTAAAACTAAAGTGAAACTGGATGGATATTGTTGCAAAATTGAGTAAGAAATAAGGCGATGTTGAAATGGCAATCGAGAAAACAAAAGAGATACAAGATTATCCACAACACATATGCTATACATAATATGATCTCAAAAGAGACAGAACAACATTAATTCAAGCAGTGAATAGAGCCTCCCAGGAATAGAGAGGTCGACAGGCTAGACGATAATGGCAACGAAGAAAAGAATATAAAACAATATTCCATAATGATTTGATCTGGTATAATAATGGCTGCGATATAAATCACATGTTTCCTGTCAGCCAACTAAAAAAAAACAATAAATATGAACAATTATGGATTTAATTGGATTTTAGTTACGTATAGTTTTTTAAGTAAGTAAGTCAGTGTTTTTGACAAATATTTTTTTTTATAGAAGAAGCTGCTACATAAAACACACAAAATAAAAACAAATATTTTGATTTTAAAATATAAAAAATCAAAAATTGCGTTGTGGTAAAGTAACTTTGCAAGTCATGTATTTAGATATTTCAAACATTTTGTAAGCACAACAGAAGTATCCTTAAATGGTATTAAATTTCATTATATATTTATTATTTTATTTTAAAATCCTTTGAATATCCAGTAACAATTTATGTGTTTGGTATAAGATTATAAGAGTAAGAAAGTATTAGGCATATAAAAATTAACAATATGCAACCACGCAACTCACTTTCACTTATGTCATCCAACATGATGAAAAATAGTTCAACGGAAACTTATCACTAAAATCACAATCACTTAATTATACTGTTTTAGTTAAAAAAATAAAATTGGAAAACATCAGTCTATTGGATCTAGAAAACAATGTCACCAAAGTCCTCGGCAGCTCTTCGAAAAAGTTCCGTACCCGTAAAAACCATCTTCGAAAAAGATTTGCACAGAGAGCGCGCCGTTTCCCGTGTAAGGCGTCCACCGGTTTATTTTTGGCGCCGAGACGCCTTTCCTGTCCCCTCTCGCCGGTTTTTCGGTATATTCTGAAAATGGCCGTGGTGTAACCCGAGCTAGTGCCTTAAATGGAACTGCGCGGGCTTTTCTGAGTTATTAATAAACCTGTTCTATTGCCCAAGCCGCTCTTTGGATGTTTGTGCATTTTGGGGATAACATGGGCGTCGATATCGTCCAAAAATAAAGATATTATAAAACAGCACGGACGGCCTGCACTCCGCATCGGTGCAGTATAAATAGATTTAAGGTTTTTTCTAACTTCCGCAACGGATGTCGATTACAATTCTTCTTGCAGTCAATCTAAAACGGGATGTGTTCCTCATTTAATGAAGCTATTAATTAAGTATGTAGGTCAATATAAAGGAAAGTTTTGAAGAGGTATAATTTGAAAAATTGTTTGGAACCAAATACTTCGAAAATCTTAAAGTTTTTTTAACCTTTATACCGTTTTAAAAACAAAACGGAAATATTTTTTTATTTAAAACATTTATTCCACATTACCCATGCAGGGTTATGTGGGATAATTTTTCGACTGTTCTAACAACCATTCAAATTTCGTCATTTTGAGTCATGTGGAACAATTTCACCCAATCATGTCAACATTAGACTGATAATTGCATTCAGTGCAATTTTCAATCCCTATGACAAACACGATCGAGTTTGACAACTTCATCCAAATAAATTTCAAAATGTCACGTTTCTAATGTTAACTTAAATTTTAATAATTGTACTTTCAGTAACTGTACTTTTAATAAATAAATGTTTCGTTATGTTGAGTTATGATTTTTTTTTTCGAAAAATTATCCGCCGAATATCCCTCGGACATTGATGAATGCCTCATAATTTCATGACAAATTTCTCAAGCTCGTTGCTTGGTAACAGCACTCAGCCTTCGGCTTCGTGCTGTTACCAAGGAACGAGCTTTCGATTGTCATGAAATTATCTCGTCTATTATCAATGTCCTAGGGATATTACTACTGATAACAAACAAAATAGTTTTAATATAATTTGTACATAAAATATTATTATCTTCTTCTTATGGTGCCTATCCGTTACGGATGTTGGACACTAACATGGCTATTCTGACTTTGTTGACTGCTGCCCTGAAAAGTCCGGTAGTGGTTAAGTTAAACCACTTTCGCAGGTTATGCAGCCAGGATATTCTTCTTCGTCCTGGACCTCTTTTCACATGCACTTTACCTTGAAGTATGGTCCGAAGTAGGTCATATCGTTGTTCATTGCGCATTATATGGCCCAGGTATTCTAGTTTGCGACGTTTTATGGTTACGAGTATTTCTCGCTCTTTACCCATTCTATGTAGTACTTCTTCGTTGGTAATTCGGTCTATCCAGGAAATCCTCAACATACGTCTATAGAACCACATCTCAAATGCTTCGAGTCTCTTCAGTGATGCTTCAGTTAAGGTCCATGACTCTACGCTATATAAAAGAACGGAAAATACGTAGCATTTTAGTAAACGAACTTTTATTTCCAATTTTATGTCGTGGCTGTTAAAGATTTTTTCATTTTGACGAAAGCTGATCTTGCCTTCTCGATCCTTATCTTAATTTCCGTCGATTGGTCCCACTGTTCATTTAAGTTTGCACCCAGATAACGAAAGTTGGTGATTTGTGTTATAGGTTGTTGGTTAACTAGTAATTGACCAGGTGGTATCCTATTTTTGCTTATAACCATGTATTTGGTTTTTTTGATGTTAAAATCAAGCCCAAACCTGCTACTTACTTCTGCCACCCTGGAGACAAGTGTCTGCAGACCTTCAAGACTGTCTGCAAAAATGACAGTATCATCAGCGTATCTTATGTTGTTCAATCGTTCTCCGTTTATAAGTATTCCCTCGTCTATGTCCGTTAGCGCTAGGTTCATAATGTGCTCTGAATATGTATTGAACAATAATGGGGACAATATACATCCCTGTCGTACACCTCTTTTTATCTTTATATCGTCTGTTAGCTGATCCCAACTCTAACAGCTGCAGTTTGTTCGTAATAGATATTGTTTATTATACGGCGATCTCTGCTGTCTAGACCAATTGAATTTAATATTTTCATCAGTCATCGAACGCTTTCTGGTAATCCACAAAACACACATATATATATCACAATTCATACAATACATACAATTTTATATTTATTTTGAATAATTTTTATCTGTGAGGATGGATTTGAGGTCATCTAAAATTCCATGCATTTTTGTTTGATTTTGGAAACATGGGCAGTCAAACAGGAAGTGTTTCACTGTAGAGCAATTCAAATTGGAGGTGGATCTTTACTAGTTAAAAAATTGTGTGTGAAAGCAGTATAAGCAGACAGCAGAATTAACTAGACCCCCCAACGCTCGAGGAGGTCCAAACGGTCCACATACAAAAAAAACATAAGGTACCGGGAATGCATAAAATACCGGCAGAACTACTCAAGCAAAAAATAAAAGGATCGAAGAAGAAATCCCCAACAATGAAAGAAAAGTATAATATGCCCTATTTATAAAAAAGGAGACAAGCTGTTGTGTCAGAATTATAGAAGCCATCTCTTTACTTTGTTCGGGGTACAAAATACTCATAAACATCATTAATCGAAGACTTCAATCTCTCACGGAAAAAATCATGGGGAAATATCAAGCACGGTTTAGGCAAGATAGATCTACCATTGACCAACTATATACAGTTAAACAAATTCTAGCCAAAGCATGGAAATATGACATGGACGTTTACAATCTCTTTGTTGATTTTATACTTTATATTGGAAGAGTTTGGCATACCATCAAAATTAATCCGACTAGTGCAAATGACAATGACAGAAACAGAAGCACGTATATATATTTAAGGACAGATCACTGATGCGTTTACGTTAACCCAAGGACTAAAACAAGACGACGGACTGGCTCCAACGCTCTTTAATCTTGTTTTTGAATATGTATAATTATAAGTAATAATAATTATATAATTATATAATATAATTAGACGATTGACGGTGAGTGGAAATAACATACTTACAAACAAATCTACCCAATTAGCAGCATACGCAGATGATACAAACATAATGAGCCGAACAGTGAAGGCAGCGTAGGAAACCTACGTTGAGTTGAAACATAGTGCAGAAGCAGTAGGGCTAGCAATAAATACAAATAAAACAAAACTACTCATACAAACAGATCAAATAGACCGGCACAACAACACTTTATTGACGATATAGAACATGTGAATCGATTCACATACCTAGGAATGGATCTGGTCGCAAGCAATGAAGAAGAACCGACAATAAATAGAAAGCTTGTGCTGGCAAATAAAGCCTATTTCGCGATGGGCCACATATTTAAATCGCAAGACGTACACTGGAAAACAAAACTCCGGGTCTATAAAACAATAATCAGGCCCATAGTAAGTTATGGTTGTGAAACATGGGTGGTAACATATAAATCTGACATTGATCAACGATCAAATTAAATGATCAACAATGTTTGAAAGAAAAATATTACGTAGGATACTGGGCCCAATAGCGAACCAACTCTAGCACAATAGACTAAACTGTAGAGATTACGGTGGGCAGGGCACGTGGTCCGCATGCATGAGAATAGAATTCCCAGAAATTACTAAATGCAAGAATGCAGGGAAAAAGACCTGATAGAAGACCTAAAAACAGATGGGAAGATGAAGTCGATGATAATGCCAGGAACTGCCTGGGTACGCGTTCTTGGAAAAGAACAGCGGTAAATCGAAATGATTGGAGAACCTGGTTGAAGAAGGCCAAGGCCAGATTTGAGCTGTAATGCCATTGGATGGATGGAGCAGTATCACCAATTCTTAAGTGGTTTAAGTGGTTTAAATTAACTTGACCTCGTCTACTTGTGGGGTTATTCAAAGAGCTTTTCACATTTGGGCATATCGGGTTTAATTTGGTTCCTGAATTTTCGAATTCAAATAACTTTTACAAACATATCAAATTTACTTTAGAGATTAAAAATGATTGTTAGATATCATTTCTGAACACCAAAATAATAAGAACAGAACAAAACGAAATATTGATAGATTGGTATCAAAAGCCAATACACTCTGGAAGATATTTAAACTTTTTTTTCAAATCATTCCACTCATCAAAAGTTTAATACAGTCATTGCAATGAAGAATAGGGTAAGGCATATTAGTGATGATAATTTCATAAACAAAAACTTAAATTTGCTGTTAAACATCTTTCAAAATAATGGATACCCAAAACATATCCTTAAAAAATTGATACTATTTAACTCTGACATTTTTGACGGTCCCACTGATATCGGAGCAGTACAAACAATACAATATAAAAAACTACCATTAATAAAACAGTTAACACCTTCTGTGACTAGTTTATTTAAACAATTTACTAACATTAAAAATGTCCAATATAATTTATTAGAAAACCGACAACTGTTTTCTAAAGTAAAACACAAGACACCAACTGGAAACAAAACTAATGTTATCTACAAACTGCCATGTTTGGATTGCCAGAGCTGTTATATTGGCCAAACTTCTCAATGGCTAAAACAAAGGGTCACACAACACAAAAGTGACTGCACAAAACGGAAGAATACATGTGCTGCAGTTGACCATCACTTAAAATCTGGCCATCAATTTGACTACTCAAATGTCAGGGTTCTACAGCAAGAAAATAATTACAAAAAAGATTGTTTTTCGAAATGTGTCATATAAATAGAGAAAACTATGCAGTAAATTACAAGGCAGACACGGGACAATTGAGCAATATCTACTGTAATATTCTTAGTATGTCCAAATAATTTTTTTGTTAACAATTATATTTTAAATCACCCTGTATATTTTTAATGTGTAATTTTATTGTGTTTTAATTATTTCTTGGTTGTTTTTGTTTGCTCTGTTTTTATATTTATGTTTGAGCTATCCATCCTCTGGACGTGTCCATACCATATCAGCTGTTTTCTTTCTATG